GAATTCAAAGATGCAATCTCCATGTCACTTTTTACAGTTACCAACTCCCAGCCTCATGCATCTTTGCTAATGTGAAAGCAACTTTGAAGTAGAAAGGAACATAAGTGATTTTAATTTGCATCTGTCCACTCAGTAGTGATTTAAGGATCCACTGTCATATGCTTATTTTCTAATGGGGCACATTGAATTACTAGAGCTTTTATGTAGAAAGAATGCTAGCACTTTGTCACTTTTTTGTATGCAATTAAGTATTTTTGGTAACAGGAGAAAATATCAGACAGGGTTATTTACAACAGACCCCACAGAACTTTTGTTATTAACACCCATTATGAAATGTTGGCGACCACCAGCATGTTATAAACTCTACGAGAGCTAAAACTGGGCCAGTCTTGTCCTATAATCTAAGCTCCAGTATTTAACACAGGTTGGTAGTTGTTGTTGTTGTTGTTGTTAAGTGCCGTTGAGTTGGATCCGACCCAGAGTGACCCTAAACAGGGTTTCCAAGGATCGACTGGTGAGCTTGAACCGCCAACCTTGCAGTTCAAACAGCTTTGCGGTCTGGCGCATTAACCCACAGCGCCACGGCAAATAATTCTTGAAAGTGTGAATGGGACTTCCAAGAATGTCTGTCAGAGATTACGTGACATGGACAGAGCACATATGATGGCAGAATCTTTTATTTATTTTCCATTTAACTATTTGTAATTAAAATACTTGCAAGTGGAGAGAACTGGGCTGTCTAGAAGATGGATAGTCTTCTGAATAGGTGTGCTAGGCCCTTAGCATTTAGGCTTCCCCAGGCACCTGCCCTGAAAATGAATCTTTGAGAATATGAAGACAAGCCCCTAACCTTGAACCAAATTTATCTACTAGAATCATCAGTTCAGACTAAGAAGAAAAGAGAACAGTGGAACTCTTAAAAGTTCAAAATTTATTTTGTTTTAATGTTTTACAATATAATTGACAGTTCATTTTATAGTCATGGAAAGCAGACCTAAATATACCAAATAAAGACCAGAATTTGTTTCACAAACTTGATTTCTATTTTTCAAAAAATTTACTTCAAAAGTCATTTAATATAGGACAGTATCCTGAATTATGCTGTAGAATTCCAATGTTGAGACTTTAGTTGTTGTAACTCATCTGTTAAAAATATATATATTTACTAAAGTTAATATATTAAAAGTCAAGTGTCTTTTTAAAGAGGTTATGTATTTTATCTTTAAAATCTCCTCTCTTCTCTCCCCCTACTTCTACTGAAGTATTGCTAAAACCAGTCAGATACAGACATATAGGAGTAGGTCTAAAACACCTGCTTTGTTTTATTTTTAAAGGTCATCATTCCAGTCCCAAAGCATTGGGACCAGCATTTTAGGTCCTTTTGTTGTTGTTGTTAAGTGCTGTAGAGTTGGTTCTGATTCATAGTGACCCTGTATAGGGGTTCCAAGTAGTGGCTGGTGGGTTTGAACCACTGAATTTGTGGTTAGCAGTCCAGTGCTTATCCTATAGCGCCACACCAGGAGTCCAATATATAACCATGTTGTTTGTTGTTAAGTGCCATTGCGTCAGTTCCGACTCACAACGATCCTGTATAGGGTTTCCAAGGAGCAGCTGATGAGTTTGAACTACTGACCTTGTGGCTCAAACTGACCTTTTGCCCAGTGCATTATCCTATAGCGCCACATGGGTAAGGGAGCTGAACAGAAACAATATTTTGATCTGGGCACTTTATCGGTAACCATCCAGACATGGTCTATACATGCAAAACTGAGCACCACAGTTATCTTTTAGGTACACACGGGGCTGGCTTCATAGGCATGCAACTTGTACGGTGACATAGGACCCTGTGTGTGCTCAGCAGGTTTAGATGAATGTTCTCTTGTTGATGTTTTGAACTTCTTAATAATTTTTGGGCAAGAGGCCCTGCCTTTTCATTTTACCCTGTCCTGTAAATTATGTAGCTGGTCTTGAATATACATAAAACTTGCTTTGACCTGTATCATCTGACTTGTGATCTCTGTTTTTTGGCAATGACGGAAGTGTAGTTTCTTAACATCTCACCCCATCATTCCTAGGATAACTGTACTTTCTAACATTTTCAAGGGCAAGAAATCATTGGTCATGTGATCCACTGAGAATAAAGGAAGAAAGCACACAAAGGTGATTTGTGTTTATCTGTAAATCAATAGATTAGGAATTATGCTTTCAATGGAATATGGAAGAAACAAACCTAGTATGACATATACAATCAGCATAATGAAAGAGCTTGTTCATTTGAAGAGCAAATATGTATGCATGTGTCAATAAGCGAAATACAAATACATTATTGTAACTCTGTTATCATTAAGATAATTACTTCAGCAATTGGAATAAAACACTGAATCTGTACAAGGTCTGAGCTTGGCTATTCTTCATAAGAATAGTGAAAACATCCTCTTCTGAACTAGAAAGCATCATTCTTCCTACTTTCTTCAAAAGAATGTTAGGAAATAAAACCCCAAACCCACTGCTTTCAAGTAGATTCCAACTCATAGGCACCCTTTAGGTCAGAATAGAGCTGCTCCTTAAATCTTTATTGGAGCCGATAGCCTCAGTTTGTTTGGTAGGTTTGAACTGCTGACCTTACAATCAGCAGCCCAACACCTAGCCAAC